ACCAGCTGCATCACATCCTGGTATGGCAGTTGCACCCTTTAATTGTAAGACTTTACATGTGAAAGGTGCAGTACATAACCAGGAAGGAACTGCCATTCGAGGAGGACCTTTATACCCAGTGGTGAAAGGGGAAAGCACATTTTTATTGTAAAAAACTATGCTGTAGCCTTTGAATCCTTTGATTCAACTGATCCGGATAAATATCTTATTACCTACAGTAATGTCCCACTCCCCGCCCAGCATTACTTCTTCGGCCAACTTGTATGGCTTCAGGTTACAAATGACAAAAACCTGCCAACCACTGTAGTATCACCTCATTTTGAGGAAGCAGTACCATTTTCATTTAAATTGACTGTAAACATGTTTCTACCTTAACAACATCCGTAATATTGATTTATTTAATGAGCCAATATTATAGTTGTTCACTATGTATGTGTTACAGTTAGGTTACAACTTGTTAAATCAATTGTATTAGTGTGTATTTCTACGATAGAAGATCATTCTAATCAAGCCAATTTGCCCAGATGTAAACAACATTGTGATGAGTGGTACGTCATTTGAGTTGTCCACAACAAATAACATGGGAGAAAATGCTTCCACTTCTGGGGTCTTCTGCCATGAGCGGATGTGTTTTGGACATGTAACCTGTTAAGTGTTTCTGGCACCAGAGCACTCTTGGAACACCAAAGTCATTTGAGGATTAATCTTTGAGTAGCATAGTTGTCTCTGGACCAAAGTATGGTCTAGCTAGCATACCTGATTTTCAATGTTTTCTTTTTGTCCCTTTACAGCCACCCTGGTGATGCCGGGCAGGTCAATGAGCGTCAGGTCGGGAACATCAGGAGAGGCGATCTCCAGACTGATGAGTTCATGACTGATCCCAGACCCGGGTCCGGCTATTTTATTCTGAGCTGAAGAGAGAAGACACAATGTATAATCATATCTAAGGATGGATGTGATTATTACTGAAAATAAAACTGCTTCAATCTTCATCAACACTTGGCTTGGATAGTGACATTGATAGTAAAACAGTGTATACTGTACCTTCTCTAATCTTCTTCTCCACACCTGCAAGGTCTTTTAGCTCTTCCTCAAAGTCCTGGTAGCTTATCTTCCCATACCACCCCTCTCCTTCTTTCCTTCTCTTCATCTTCAGTTCGAGAGGACATCTTGTCACAATGCCTGAATTAACATAAAGTGAATACAGAGACACGGAAGAACAAGTTAAATCCAGGAGTTCTCGGGAAATGATAAAAGAAGCCCACAGCAGAAATCCTTTCAAATAAATAGTTGGATCTCTAATAATTGAATCTTTTCAAAAGGAACTCTTTGAATAAAAGGGAACTCAAGATTCATTCAACTCCACACTTTCTCCCTTTCAGCTTGTATATTATTAGTATCAGGGCCGGTTTTGGCATAGGGCGCCAGATCTGGGGGGGCGCACTGGTACCGGGGCTTGTTATTGGCATCTGGTGCTGAATGGACAGGTTTGAAATCATTCCAATGTATAGGCTACTATAGGACAGTAAACCAAAAATGTCATTTAAAACTGGAGAAATACAAAATATGCCTAAATAAATAAATGTTAACTAGATTACGCAGGGGCAGATTACTTACAACTACTAAGATTGGTTCACAAGACCTCATGAAAGACGATACATGAAGTGAGGATACCCGGCCTGGAGGAAGCCCGGGGTCCCCTTCTGGAGCCAGGCCCAGAAGGAGGACTCGTCGGCGAGCGTCTTGTGGCCGGGCTTGCCACGGAGCCGGGCCGGGCACAGCCCGAAAAGGCAACGTGGGCAACACCTCCGCTTCTCCGCCCACCACCTACGGGAAACAGCGATGGGGTCGGGTGCGCTGCCAGAAGGGTGGCAGTGAAGGCAGAGGGTCTCAACGGACCAGACCCGGGCGACAAAAGCTGGCTTTGGGGACGTGGAACGTCACCTCTCTGGGGGGGAAGGAGTCGGAGCTTGTGCGAGAGGTGGAGCGTTACCAGTTGGATCTGGTTGGGCTCACCTCTACGCACAGCGTCGGCTCTGGAACCTTACTTCTGGATAGGGGTTGGATTCTATTCGTCTCTGGAGTTGCTCAAGGTGTGAGGCGCCAGGCGGGTGTGGGGATACTCACAAGTCCCCGGTTAGGTGCTTCGTTGTTGGAGTTTACCCCAGTGGACGAGAGGGTCGCCTCCCTATGCCTGCGGGTTACGGGGGGGAAAACTCTGACTGTTGTGTGTGCTTATGCACCCAACAGCAGTTCAGAGTATACAGCCTTCTTGGAGACCCTAGAAAGAGTCCTGTATGGGGCTCCTGAAGGGGACTCTTTAATCTTGCTGGGAGACTTCAACGCACATGTGGGCAATGATGGAGACACTTGGAGGGGAGTGATTGGGAGGAACGGCCCCCCTGATCTGAACCGGAGTGGTGGTTTGTTACTGGACTTCTGTGCTAGTCATGGGTTGGCCATAACAAACAC